AATAGTATTCCTGCAGGACTTGTGAAAAAGGCTAACGTGGGTCATTTTTTATGTGAAGGGGGTTACCTACAGCCTCTCTGTGAGGCCCTGATGAAGGAGAACAAAATGCCATTTTCCTGGCTTCCTGAGCTGGGTCAAGCACAGCAGAACTTCTTTACACCCACACCTTCCAATGGGTCTGGCTTGTCCATTCTGATGTTTTGAGACGCGAGGGCTTGTAGAAGCCCCTGGTGCAGTGCTGAGGTGTTTGTTACATATATAAAGGTGGCAGGGGAGGACTCTCTTGGCCTTAGCCTACTCCAGTCTGCTTGTTTGATCCAAACTCACACATTCATTGTTGCTGAAAACTTGGGCTACTCAAATTTCAGAATTTTTGCTATGCAGATGACCCAGTGGTATATTAGTGAAGGTTAAGCTCTTATAGATAAGTGATTTTCAATGTTTTCCATTGAGAATAAATGCCATAGCAAGATAGCACTACTTACAGAGTATGTCCTATAGTTTATGTTTATTGGGGTGAAAAAGGTTGAGAGTCACTATGTGGAGTACAGAAGGTGGTTTGCAGCTTCCTTCTCCCTGTAGAATCTGGGCTGTAACTGATCCCAAAATTCCTTCCTCTAAAACAAGCATGTCAAACTCTGGGGGCCGAATGTTTGACATGCTTGCTCTAGAATATGGGAGGTGACTTCTTCCAGGGGAACTTATATGGAGAACTTCCATGGAGGTGGACTACAAGAGTTTATCCTACAGACTTTGATGTCCCTAAGCCCATGGTTGGCAAACTGCGGCTCAAGAGCCACATGCAGCTCTTTGGCCCCTTGAGTGTGGCTCTTCCACAAAATACCACAGCCTGGGCGAATCTATTTTGAAGAAGTGGTGTTAGAAGAAGTTTAAATTTAAAAAATTTGGCTCTCAAAACAAATTTCAATCGTTGTACTGTTGATATTTGGCTCTGTTGACAAATGAGTTTGCCAACCACTGCCCTAGGCTCTTTGTCAGAGCCCAGTAGATCCAAAGACTCTGTCTGGGAGGGGCATTGTGTAAAAAGGGAGCACAATGGTGGTGGAAATGGGGTAATTCTCTTCTCGATGCCTGAACTGGAACAGCCTGTGAACAAAAAATTTATCACAGTGAAGCAATGGGACTAATGCACCAAGTGGACTAAGAGGCATCATCATTAGGATGTCTTTGGTATTTGATGGACAACAAGAAGGTGCTTTCATTCCAGGATTTTATAATACTCTCGCACTAAAATGAGCTTATTCTATTTCATCGATGTCGGCTGAAATGGAATGGGAGTAGATGCAGAAAGTTCTGGGACTCTTGTGCCCCTGGGAAAACAACAAGAGTCCTGGATGAAGGTCTGTACCTTAAACCCGAACTGCTGTGCATGAGCGGAATGGGCAAGGACAGATGCCATGGTAAGATAAATTTGTTTTGTGCTTTAAAGTACACTAAAAGACTTCCTATTCTACTGTTTTGCTCCTATAACAGTCCTTAGGGTAAGCAAGGCAGGCTTTATTGTCAACACTTTGCAGAGCGGTAAACTAAGTCTCAAAAGGAACTTAGCCAGAACCAGATGGTTAGTAAAGAGCTAAGCCAAGAATTACACCCGGGAGTTTGGGTTTCAAGTTCAAGCCTCTTGGGTTTTGCAGCCTGAGCCATTGGACTCCTCTGAAATTGGTTGCCTGCTTTAATAGGGTCACACAAGAAAAGTCTAGTGCCAGTAGGAACTTGAGGACATGGAGAACTGCTAGACTAAGGTGGCCAGACGTCCCGCTTTTGGCGGGACAGTCCCGCTTTTTAACAATTTGTCCTGCGTCCCACGGCGTTTTAAAAAAGTCCCGATTTTTGGAAAGAATGCATGACAAGCTAGGGAACAGCGGGAGAATGGGAAGGGAATATTTAGCCAGGATATGAGTTTTATATTATTTTTGTTATTTTTATAATGTTAAACTTTAATAGTAACAAATAATTGTTGAGAACTGATTATTGAGAACTGCTTATCAAAGTTTGAATTGTTGATCAGTTGTTAGAATTCGACCACCATTGTTTGGACTTAATGAACAATGGCATTTTTTGGGATTGGCAATGACGAAAGCATTTTGTAACTGTCTCTCAGACGATACACATCGTACTGCGTGCTAGTAAGCTAGTTAAACAAGTGATGTCATTACAAATCAGCTATTCAGATAATTTAGGTAAGTAATTTATTTATTTATATCATAAATACATAATTTTTTTTGAATTTAGCAGACAGTACTCATTTATATTTTATAGTGGCGGCAAAAAGTCTAGCACTGGCCTTTAAAGTGACACTTATGACTATACATAATTTTTATTTATTTATTATATTTGTAAATTGTACTTATGTTGAAATTTTAAAAAATATATTACAATATTGTTTTTGCGTTCTATGACAATTTCTGTTGCTCCATATGGACCAAATTTTTATTTTTATTTATTTATTTATTTATTTATTTTTAATATATTTTATTGATTTTGTACAGAGAGGAAGGGAGAGAGATATAGAGTTAGAAACATCGATGAGCCAGGACCGGTTTGGCTCAGTGGATAGAGTGTCGGCTTGGGGACTGAAGGATCCCGGGTTCGATTCTGGTCGGGGGCATGTACCTTGGTTGCAGGTATACCCCCAGTAGGGGGTGTGCAGGAGGCAGCTGATCGATGACTCTCTCTCATCGATGTTTCTAACTCTCTATCTCTCTCCCTTCCTCTCTGTACAAAATCAATAAAATAAATATTTTAAAAAAAAAAAAAGAAACATTGATGAGAGAGAGTCATCGATCAGCTGCCTCTTGCACACCCCTACTGGGGATATGCCCGCAACCAAGGTACATGCCCTTGACCAGAATCGAACCTGGGACCCTTCAGTCCCCAAGCCAACGCTCTATCCATTGAGCCAAACCGGTCTTGGCTAGACCAAATTTTTAATCAAGAACGCACACACAGCCGAAACCGGTTTGGCTCAGTGGATAGAGCATCAGCCTGCAGACTGAAAGGTCCCAGGTTCGATTCCGGTAAGGGGCATATACCTAGGTTGCGGGCACATCCCCAGTAGGAGGTGTGCAGGAGGCAGCTGATCAATGATTCTCTCTCATCGATGTTTCTCTATCCCTCTCCTTTCCTGTAAAAGATCAATAAATTTTTTTTTTAAAAAAAGAACACACACACACACACACCCCAGTCAATGGTGTCCACTTTACCAATGTTAAAATCTGGTCACCTTATGCTAGACACGAAATCATTAGGAGATCCCACTTGACTACAAGATCAGCAACTTCTTGAGTAAGACTAACTATGTTAGAAATAAGAGCATTTTGGGAGGAAATTTCTCAAGCTGTTGCATAGCCTGTGCTCTCAGGGGCATTAGAGATTGATCCACACACATGGGGAGTGCTCAAGACTGAGAAGCAAAAGGCACTGTTGTTCAGGTAGATGACCATAAATAAAAGCAGGCCAGCTCCGGCCATAAGCTCTCGGGAGGATGGGGCCTGTCATATGATGAGCCCATCCAAAGCCCTGCTGATCAAAGACCGCCCTCAGAATGTAGAATAACTGCAAAGAAATCAGAAACCATCTCCTGTTCCTCTCCCCACCACTGTGAACTATACTGCTAGCTTCCTCACCCTGTTCGTCACCCCTGTCCCAATGTTCAGTTTTGCGAGCCAGGAATCCTTTTGCAATTGTTTGAAAGCTTGTGGGTAAGAAGCACAAAATCAGCTGATTTTACCCAACATAGTCAATCCTGGCACCATTCCTTATTTTTTTGTCTTCCCATAGAAAATGAGCACCTTGGGATGTGTCCCACCAGCCAACAAAACGGAGAGATGGGAACTCCATCTTGGAGGGCTCAAAGAGAGGCCTTAGCTTCAGCCCAGACAGCTAGTCAGTTCCTTTAACAGTGTCTGGGCAGAAGCAAAAGATCCAGATAGCAGACCCCGTGGCAGGACAGCTGCTGCTTATTCAACCCTGCCTCAGATGTTGGGGTGCACTTATTGGTCAAGGGGCTGAGTTGTCTAGAGTCAGGATCTCTTTATGGGGACACTCAAGACTGGTGACTTCCACCAGGCTGATGTTTCCCTGAGTGTGAAACTGGGGGCTTCGGGCCAGTGCAGCTATAGACTGAGAAGCAAAAAGCAATGTTGCTCTCTCATCCCAGACGGAGAGCCTGGAATTGGAGAAAGGGTAGCCCTGACTCCAGCTATCAAGGAGGAGGGATCTATTTGCACCCGTGGGGCCAGCCCCATTCTGGGCCACAGCACATTCCTGTATATGAGCCAGGGCAGGGGATCAGAGGCCACATGTGGGCCTGGGCAGAGGTGTGCTTGAGGGCCCATGCCAGGGTTTAACTTCAGACACCTGAGATTGGAAGGAAAGCAGATCAGCCCTGATCTCTCTCATATTTCCGTTCTGTGCTCACACACAGTTCCAGGCCCAGTAGAAGCAGAGCTGTAGATAAGGTTGTCAGCTGAGCTGGGCCCAGAAATCACCCTGTCCTCGCCTATCCATCCTCCCAATCAGGGCTTAGCCTTTCCCCAGGCTGAGCCCCACCTCCTTAAGGAGCCCCTTTCTTTTTTTTCTTTTTCTCTCTCTCTTTGTTTTAAAATATATTTTATTGATTTTTTACAGAGAGGAAGAGAGAGGGATAGAGAGTTAGAAACACTGGGGATATGCCTGCCACCAAGGTACATGCCCTTGACCGGAATCGAACCTGGGACCTTTCAGTCCGCAGGCCGACGCTCTATCCATTGAGCCAAACCGGTTTCGTTAAGGAGCCCCTTTCTATTGGTATAGCGCTCTCCAAGCCACAAGCACAGCTGAGAAATGAGAACTTTCTAACCAGACCTCAGAGAAAAGGATACAACCTGAAACTCTGCAGACCTTCTCCCTTCCTCGTCCATGAGCAGCCAGAGACCCTGTCACTTAGGTATCTGCACACTGAGGAGGAAATCTCTCAAGCTGTTACATAGTATGTTTCCCAAACTGCCACTACCCTTTCCCTCCAGCTATGGGGTGAAGTGAGGGATAGGAGCTTCCCCTCTGCATCCCACCGGGGACAGCTCAAGGTCAGACATAAAGCACCCCAGACACTGCTGGCTGAGCCTGTTAGGGAAGCAGCACTTTTCAGTCCCCTTTCCCTGGCCGTGGTCCTCCCCCCTCTACCCCCTCTACCCCTGCATCAGCCCTTTCAGGAGCTTTTAGTGGAAATGAGCTCAGACCCACAATGGAGTCTGCTAGCCTCCTGCTCTCCCAGCTCTTCCCATTGCTCTCTCATCACCTCGTCTGTCTCACTGGGCTCAGGACCATCCCTCCATCCAGCCCCATCTGCAAGCAGCTCTCCTCTCAGCGCTCACCTCTTTCACTCCTCCTTCCTTCCACCCGAGTCTTCACATCTTCTTCATTTTCCCTTTTCTCAAAATAAAGAGTTCGTCAAACCCCCACCTCACAGGTCCCTCCTACCCCTTTCTCCTTCTCCCCTGAGACCGGCAGCCGAAGGGAGAGAAAGAGAGCCCCTGACAGGATTGATGGCCCTCCCCGCCTCTTCTGTTCCCTCCCCCCAGCGGCCACAGATTTTCCCCCTACAAAAGGCAGGAGGCAGATGTTGGGTGAGACCAGCTGCTCTCAGACTCCCTTTGCTCTCTGCTGGCCTGGCTGGGCTGGGCCTTTGCTCCCTCTTTCTCAGGTGGCAGTGTCAGGTCCCCACCTCATTCCCCATGAATGCTGTGGGAAGTCCTGAGGGCCAGGAGCTGCAAAACCTGGGGAGCGAAGCCTGGGACAACCCGGCCTATAGTGGTCCCCCCTCCCCACCCGGGACGCTGAGGATCTGTACCATCTCCAGTGCGGTCACCCCCCAGCCCCAGGCCAGGAAACCTGAAGACAGACCCCAGGAGAAGGCATCCGGGACCCTGGTGTCCACCTGCTGCCTCCAGATTTGTCGGGGCATCAGAGGTAGCTGGTGGGGGAGGGTTTTCCTAGGATACTGGAGTCAGGGGAAGGAAGGGGTCACCCAAAACTTTTTTGTTGGGGGGAAGTGGTCTGAAGAAGAGGTGGACTCTCATTTCTCTTGGAGGTTTGTGAATTGTCTGTGTTAGAGCTGCATGCCCTGCAACACAGGAGCCAGCCCAGGCTCCCCAGAGTGAAGCCTGGCACAGTCACCACCTGGGGGTCCAGGAGGGCACGTGGGAGCTAGTTTAAGGAAAGACATGGATTTGATCATGCTCTAGACCAGTGGTTCTCAACCTTCCTAAAATCGCGACCCACAGGTTGAGAACCGCTAGCAGGGTCGCCTAAGACCATCGGAAAATACAGATATTTACATTATGACTCATAACAGTAGCAAAATTACAGTTATGAAGGAGCAACAAAAATAATTTTATGGTTGGGGGTTGCCACACCATGAGGAACTGTATTAAAGGGTTGCGGCATTAGGAAGGTTGAGAACCACTGCTCTAGACTAGGGGTGTCGAACTCAATCAGAGAAGGGGCCAAAATCTAAAATCCAGCCTAAATCGAGGGCCGAATGGTTTACTGAACAGTCATAAACTGTCATTGTGATGGAAATGCAGCGGAGTGCAGTGATGACAGCGCGGTGCGGGCCACATTGCAAGGCCTGGCGGGACGGATTTGGCCCGCGGGCCTTGTGTTTGACACATGTGCTCTAGACTGTCCCACCTGGACCAAGTGCCTTCTTTCCATGCCTTCATTTAGGGACTTGGATGGAGGAGAACAGGCATGGTTAGAGTAGCTAGATTCCGCCAAGGGATAAGATGATGAGGGAGGAAAGGGGCTGGGATGGAAATGGGAGTGAAATACAGGAATTGATGAGTGGGGATAACTGGGAGGAACCCTGCTGTTGGGGACCCTGGGCATCTCTCCAATGCCTCTTAGGACTCTGGGGGACAACCCTGACTGAGAACACAGCTGAGAACCGGGAACTTTATGTCAAGACCACCCTGCGGGAGCTTTTGGTGTACATCGTGTTCCTGGTGGACATCTGTCTCTGTGAGTAACACCTGCCTCTGTGTTCAATAACATCCGTCTGTGAGAAGCAACTCTGTGTACAGCGTCTGTGTACGCACTTCTGCAGGCAACATCCTGGGGACAGCTTCTATCCATGTGAGCAGGCTGGGTCCTGGGATCTTGATATTAATAACAAAATCCTATTTATGAGCTTTTCAGCTGAAGATATTATGTTTAAAAAGAACCAGTTTGCTGAGTTTGGGAAAAGACCACTCCTTTCTGTTTGGGAAACATACTTTGGTGGTTTTCACATAGTTATTATACTATGTCTGTTCCATGTTTCTTTAGGGCAGTGGTTGTCAACCTTCCTAATGCCACGGCCCTTTAATACACTTCATGTTGTGGTGACCCCCAACCATAAAATTATTTTCATTGCTACTTCATAACTGTAATTTCGCTACTGTTATGAATCATAATGTGAATATCAGTGTTTTCTGATGGTCTTAGACTCTACAGTAGCGGTTCTCAACCTGTGGGTTGCCTAAGACCATCGGAAAACACAGATATTCACATTACGATTCATAACAGTAGCAAAATTACAGTTATGAAGTAGCAACGAAAATAATTTTATGGTTGTTGGTCACCACAACCTGAGGAACTGAATTAAAGGGTACTGGCATTAGGAAGGTTGAGAACCACTGCTTTAGAGGAAGGAAGAAAAAGATTCAGCAGGTCTTAGAGCTCAGGCCCTTGAAGAAAAAAAAAGGGAGAGAGAGGTTAGAGATGCAAATAGTGTGGTGATGGTCGATGCAGTTTAGGTTCTTCCATACAAGAGACCACCAGGCCACAGGGAGATGCGAAGTTCTAGCTATAGGCTCAGACTGGGGAGATTTGGTTGGGAGAGAAGCAAGTGAAAAGATAAAGTGGTGGATCACCAAAGGATAGAAGCAAAGAAATGTAAATAATGATGAAGTTGGACCCAACAGATTCTGTAACGCCTGTAGATAAAGGTGCTTTGTACTCAGGTAATTACTTCTTTAAAAACTTGCACAACAAGGGAGGTTTGGCTAATTTCACAGAAGTGTGTGTGTGTGTGTGTGTGTGTGTGTGTGTGTGTAAAGCTGCTCCTTGGATTATACAACTAAGTATCTCCATCAGTAGGTACCTCATGCCCCACAGGAGACTCTGGTTTTTGTTGTTGTTTTTGGGACACATGACTCTTTTGAAAGTGGAATCTGAAGGTCTGATATCAGTGTTGCTGGAAATGTTGTTATCTTTGTGAGCCACCCACATTTGTGTGAGCCCTCCAGAAAGCTAAGCACTTGCATCCACCTGTAATTTGGGACTCACTCCAAGGGGACAGATGGGGCAATTCTAAGTGTTTACCATGGACCCTCAACACAGACTGAAAAGAGACAGTGCATGTGGGGAACAACGGTCAACCCCACAGTGCATTTTGTGGGGCTCATTTGGTTGTTTTCAGCAAACAACTGCCAGAAACTCGTTTGTTGACATACTGATCTTTGTTTTCACCATCTGCTAGGAAGGAGTGTGTTCCTCTTCTTTTTCAGATCCCATGACAGCAGCTGAAACCCACAGGCAGAGCCTTTCTCTATAGTAAATGAATTGGACGTCTGCTTTTTCCTATCTAATAAAAGAGTAATATGCAAATTGATGATCACCCCAACACACAAGATGGCTGTCCCCATGTGGTCAAAGAGGGCCACACAGTCAGTAAGTGGCAGAAGCAGGAATCCAATTCAGTGTCTGTTGGCCTGACTCCAATTCTGTTATCTGCTAGAGTCTACTATAGTCTCTCTGAAGATGTGTCACACATTAGTCTCAGCAACCCATCAACATCTTAGCAAGAACAGCTTCCTGCCCTACCATAACACTAGCAGAATCTTTTTAAAAATATATATATTTTATTGATTTTTTACAGAGAGGAAGGGAGAGAGGTAGAGAGTTAGAAACATCGATGAGAGAGAAACATTGACCAGCTGCCTCTTGCACACCCCCCACTGGGGATGCGCCCGTAACCAATGTACATGCCCTTGACCAGAATCGAACTGATGCTCTATCCACTGAGCCAAACCGGTTTGAGCAATAAGCAGACTCTTGATAGAATTCTGACTGCTTTCTTTTCTTTGTGTTACTGTAGTTAAAAACTGTTTTAGCCTGGCCAGTGTGCTCAGTGGCTGGAGGTCACAGTTTGATTTCCTGTCAGGGCACCTACCTGGGTTTTGGGTTCAATTCCCAGTGTGTGGCATGCAGGAGGCAGCTGATCAATTGTTCTTTCTCATTATTGATGTTTCTGTTTCTCTCTCCCTCTTTCTTCCTCTCTGAAATTAATAAAAATATATTAAAAGCTGACATAAACATTTAGAAAAATCTTAAAATACAATTCACCTATAATTCACCACCACAATACCAAAGATATTTTCACATTACCAGTCCTTATTTATATATTTACACATTTTACCTAGTTGTATCATATTTTACACTTTCACTTACATTTGTATCATAAACATTTCCTCACGTTTGTAAGTCGTTTTTATATTTTCATTTTAATGGTTACAGTCATTCCACAATTAACTAAAGCATTTCTCTTGTTATTTCAATATTTGCCTATTGTAGGTAAATATAGCTATCCTTGCTACTTTTTTTTTCCTTTACTTTTGTTGAATTACAATTTCCTTGGGAATTTCTAGGGAGAGATATTACTAGACCAAAAGATAGGAGTATCTTCTCAGTGCTTTCTACGTGTTGTCATTCTGCCTCTGTAAGGAATCATACACATTTATTATGCTGCTAGCACCAATTATGTGACAAGCTCACCGACATTGGATCCTTTCATTTATAGTTTTCATTATTAAATAAGCATCAAATGGTGCAATTTGCCTTAATTTATTTGTCCTGATCACTAGTGAGGATGGACACTTTTCTCATGTTTTAATGTATTGTGTGCATTTATTTTTGTGTTAATTGTAAAAGGAAGATAAGTGTTAAGAGGGACCACGGAGCAATTGGGGGATGAAGTTTGGAGCATTGGACCCTAGGTGTGGGACAGCCACCAGGGGCCTCATTTCCAGGACCTGGGTTCCCAGGGCTGAAAGCAGCCAAGGAAGTTAGACATCACTTGCACAGCTATCTGGCCTGGGATGGGCCCTCGGAAATTATAATGGTCAGCCATACTGACCACATTCCTTCTCCCTTATGCTTTATTCTAGGAACTGGGTGGAACTAGACACCAGGGCTATTTGGTATCTCATCTGGCTAAAGTAGAGCTATCTTTTTAATGCGGGCAATGTGGGTGAACCATAGATCTTCTCATAATAACCGTATCAGTATGTAACCCTTTAAATCTTACAAAGAACTTCCACAACTCTTATCTCATTCGATCCTGACAACAGTGCTGTAAGAAACAGATATGATTATTTCTGTTCCACAGATTAGGAAGCTGTTATTATTGTCATTACAAATAGTTGAGGAATGATCAGTCATTCAGAATGGTCCCTGATAGGTGGAGTTGGTTCTATTCCTAGGCAGAGAAAGTGCTGGAGAATGATCTTTCTGCCTCCACCCCTCCCCTCTCACCATCACACTTATGAAACAGCTTCCAGTCCTTTGTCTTCTTGGCAGGATGGCTGTAGCCTTTTGTTGATGGAGAAAACATTGGAGGTCTTTGTGTGGAAACAATAGCTGTTTGTTTTAGGAGACAATATTGTTATCTCAAAGGTGCACCTGGAACTGGCCCTGTATAGGAGTGGCTCTGAGCCTGGACAAGGCTGGGTCTGATCACCATGGAGTTGGGGAGGGGGGCAGAGACCGCTGGCTTTTGTGACTTGTGACTACATGCCAATCATCAATTGGATGCTCTTTATCCATCACTGGTTATAAGCAAATGCTTGCCTATATCACTCTACTTTCTTTTTTTTTTTTTAAATAACAGGATTTCCTTTTCTGATGGCTGAATAATATTCCATTGTATTTATATACAGCACATTTTCTTTATCCACTTATCTGTTGATGAATATACAAGTTGTTTCCATGCTTTGGCTATTGTAAATAATGCTGCAGTGAACACAGGGGTGCTGATATCTTTGCAAGATAGTGATTTCACTTTCTTTGGATAACTACCCAGAAGTGGAATTGCTAGATAATATGATATAGTGGTTTTATTTTTAATTTTTTGAGGAACCTCCATAAAAGTTACCATTCTTTCTTTTTTTAAAGTTATCTTTCATCACTGAGCATTCTTAGAATTGACAAGGGAAGGAACAGAAGTATATTGGAGGTTCAGGAAATTATAGCTAAGCTTCTATTTCTTATGTGGTACAGCTACATAATGATGGCAGAAAATAATTGGTTACATAGAACTATGACATGAGTGAAGGCCCAATGGTAATGGAAAGAGTATGGAATCTGGAATAAGATGACTTGGTTCATATGATAGTACAACCTGTTAACCTGATATTAGCCATGTGCCTTGGCAAGATAGGTCAAGATACTTAAATCTCTGGAAGTCTTGATTTTCTTATATATCAAATGAGAATAATGTGAGATTGGTGAAAAACAAATAAGGTGCTTTGTATAGTGCCTAGCATAAGTGAGCTTTCAATAAATATCAGTTGTCATTTCACGTAAAGGCATAAATTTAAAAAATATTGAAAAGTAAAATTTAACCCACTAGAAAACTGAGATCTGTTTGAAAGCATCAGAATAATGCTTATGAAGAATCAGAAAGGCTAGCCCTCTGGAAGTGGTTGTCAAAGATTAGGAATGACTAAGGGTCATGATTTCATGTCTTTCCTAGCATACTCAGTTACTATAGCCTACCCAGACACAGAGAGCTACAAAGTTCTTTTCATATGAGGGTGAAGTGATCTGAACCTTAATAATAAGGATTTAGCCCAACCAGAGTGGTTCAGTGGTTGAGCATTGACCTATGAACCAGAAGGACATAGTTTGATTCCCCGTCAGGGCACATGCAAGGGTTGCAGGAAACAGCTAATCAATAGCTCTCTCTCATCATTGAGGCTTCTATCTCTCTCTCCCTCTCCCTTCCTCTCTGAAATCAATACAAATATATTAAAAAAAAAAAAAAAAAAAAAGAGTTGGCAACCAGTTCAAAGCAATGTTAATTCTGAGCAGTAACAGATTTGGAGAATTAGAGAAAAAGCTATGGCAGTGAGTACCACCTAGTGGCCATTCTGAAGGCGCAACAATTTAATCAGCCAATTATTGGGAAAAGTTCAGCTCACTGACCATTAGCTCTAACTGTGTAATGGAATGGGCTCTCCAGCAGGCAGAAATTTGTTTTCCAGAGCCAGAAAATTGAGTCTGAGTCTTCCAGATACTTAGGATAGGTAATCACAGATTTGGTTAAAGAGAGGTAAAGTAATTTATTAGACTTCATGGAATGAAATGGGAAAATGTGAAGTAACATATTCCTTCTTTATGGATATGCGCCTTGGAAAAATATGATGTTACTTGTGTCTAATCTGAGGCCATATTGGCCCCTTTATCATCCAAGATTATAGACAAGTTCCAGTCCATCCCAAGTCATACCTTTTCCAGATGAGGTGGTAGGAGAAAACATAACCCAAGATTTGAAAAGGAAAATTCTTAAAAGGGAATTGCCCATTAGAGGCCAGCAAACCATATTTAAACATTTTTTTAATGTAATTACAGACTTATAGAAAAGTTGCAAGAATAATACAAAGTATTCTTAGCTCCATCCACCCAGACTTCTCAAATAAGAACATGTTACTGTGCTTGCTTTTCCTGTATCATTCCCTCTAGATATCTATCTACATATACATACAACTGTTTGAGAGTAAATTGCAGACAAAAATGTCTCATTACTCCTATACTTCAATGTATATTTCCTGAAAACAAGGACATTCTTTTATCAAAGTCAGAAAATTATCAATGATTCAATACTATCATCTAATAAATAGACCTTATTATACTTTCACCAATTATTCCACTAATAGCTTTTAAAGCAAAATAAAGAAATTATGGTCCAGTATATAATCCTAACTGAATGCATACACCGCATGTAGTTGTCATACTTCTTTACTTTCTTTTAATCTACCACAATTCTTTAATCTTTCTTTCTCTTTCATGACCTAGCTAAAATATTTAGCAACAAAATAAATCATAATATTAGCAAATTAAGGAATACATTAAGGACCAATCTGTAAAATAAATGGCTATAGTCTTCAAATTCTGCCTTTTAATCAGAAAACTTGTACTTTCCCTTGACAACCCTACTTTAGTCTGGGTGTCTGTCTTAGGGTGGTTGGTAGAGATCCAGTTCTACAGAGCAAAGGTCAGGTCTTTTATATATATCAGGGATGCTCTCAGTTCCTCTGTCAAGTGATAATTGTGCCCATCGGATGCAATGGGGCCAGAGGTACCATGCTTACCTCTGACCCTCATGGCTGCAAACTGACTCCAGGGTCCAGGAGACCACATCTCCATTGTAAGGTGTTTGGCCAAGGCCTTGGAGTACTCTAAAATTTTCAGGCACTTTCTCAAGGACATAAATATAAGACAAATAAAATGAAGCACTATTTGATGCAGAAGATGAAAATTTCTTGGCTCCAGGGAGTGAGAACTAGGAAGTTAAGCTGGTTGAGGAAGAGAAAAGTGAATTTTTATAATGGCAATGTCAAGAGACAATTACTGAGTGGAGTTCAGTCTCTCTGAGGTGAGCTAGGAGGGAAGGAGGAGATCTTGTAGCCACAACTCTTCCTTAATGCAGTCCCTGGCTTCCCCAGTGCCGCCATCAGCCTCCCCAGTCAACTCTAGGGGGTGAGTCCGATATACTTCTATCTAGGTTGCATTGTTGGCCCAAGGGCAATGGGTTTTCCTGTGTTTTTTGTTGTTGTTGTTGTTGTTGTTTCTGAGAATGGAGATGGGAACAGTGAGAAGAATGCCTTTTGGTTTTGTTTCTAGTGACCTATGGGATGACAAGCTCCAGTGCCTATTACTACACCAAAGTCATGTCTGAGCTGTTCTTACACACCCCATCAGACACCAGAGTCTCCTTCCAGGCCATCAGCAGCATGGCAGACTTCTGGAATGTGAGTATGACATAACCTCTCCTTTCTCAATGGCCTGAGGGATGAGGCCACGTACAGGCCAGAGTTCAGGTACATCAGACAATGGATGAGACAATATCCAGAGACCAGATCATTCCAGCATCAGGCTGAATCAAAGGGTCATGAAAGGATTAATGGGTCAGATTAGAGTTAAGGTGGAGGTAGGTGAGAGATCAGGATGATGATCAGGGCATCAAGCCAGTAATTAGACTAGTAAGAGAAGTCAGAGGTAAGACTGAACTTCTAAATACATATTAAATAAAAGTAAGGCCACAGGTCAAGATCTGATTAAGGTTCATGGGTCAGCTGAGGAGTCCAACAGAAACAGACTAGAGACAAGGTGGGCGGACAGGGAGTGAGGGCAAAGGTCATTCTAAGAGTAGAGGTCAAGATGAGGCTGGGTCAGGCTCAACCCTGCTTGTGGTCTAGTTTGCCCAGGGCCCACTACTGGACAGTTTGTATTGGACCAAATGGTACAACAACCAGAGCCTGGGCCATGGCTCCCACTCCTTCATCTATTATGAGAACTTGCTGCTGGGGGTTCCCAGGCTGCGGCAGCTGAGGGTCCGCAACGACTCCTGTGTGGTACACGAGGACTTCCGAGAGGACATTGTGAGCTGCTATGACGTCTACTCTCCGGACAACGAAGAGCAGCTCCCCTTTGGGCCCCTCAATGGCACCGCGTGAGTTCCCACACCAAGATTATAGGGCTTGCCCCTCTGGGCCTGACACCACCCCAAGGTTTGGAAACCACTTCCACAGAGCCATGGGGAAAAGCAGAGATAGAGCTTTGGGGTACTCAGAGAAATGGGTAGGGGTATCTCTCTGAGTCCCAACTTTGGCTGTTGCACACGTGTCAAACACAAGGCCCGCGGGCCAAATCCTTGATAGCATGTGAGTTGGTTAACAGCACTGTTAAGGAAAAGATTGTTCCACTCATTTTAAATTCACATTTCTGGTTAACATTGTCAGTTTATGACTGTTCAGTAAACCATTCGGCCCGCGATTTAGGCTGGATTTTAGATTTTGGCCCCTTCTCTGATTGAGTTCGACACCCCTAGTTTAGAGACAGACTTTGGTCTGAGTCATTCAGGAACAGAGAAGGTACATGTGCAGACTGAGCCACGGCCTCGGGACTTGTTTCCACACACAGATTACAGTCACATTTGCCTTACTCTGGAGGCATTCCTGCCAGAGATGGCTTTTTTTTTTTTTTTCTTGCACAGAAGTCACTTGAGAATATGGAGAACTGATGAAGCATCGATACTGTCGTATGAGTCATGGTTGGAAGTCTAACCCTTGGAACTGATAGGGAGAGCAGCAAAGAATCAAGTATGAATGACAAATTAGGGGAGAAAGGGGGAAAGTATGGCTAGGTCAGGAAAGGAAGGGGGGTCCCAGGTAGAAAGTTTGTAATCAGAACAGTTATGAGGTTACTCAGCTGGGTATATGTCCACAATAACAGAAAGGGATTTTTTTGTATTATAAGGGCCAGGTGCTTCCTGTAAGGGGACTACTCAGGGAGGGGTCAAAAGCCATGCTTGGGTATGTCATCCATACTCTTGGGTGACGTCATGAAAAATTAGGAGATTTACATTTGAGTTTCGGTTTGGCCACTAACTAGCTGGATAATCTCAGACACCTCTGAGTCTTGGTTTCCTCATTTGCAAAATGTGGATAATGTTTATCCTCAGGTCTAAAACTGATGTTGAACACAAAACAGGATAATATATGTGAAATATACATTCAGGGTGTCCCAAAAATGTAAAATTATTCATTTCAATGGGTTAAATCGGAAAAGAAACATTGGAATTACTTGTTCAAAGTGTGTATACATTTTTTGGGAGACCTTTATATATGTGATATGTATATATAATATATGTATGAAACTGTAAAGCCCAGATAATCATAAAGTATTGCCATTGCCTTGGGAGATCAGCCTTAGGTTGACTCAGACATCTGCTTAGATGGCTTCTTCCTCGGCAGGTGGACATACCACTCAGAGCATGAGCTGGGGGGCTCTTCTCACTGGGGCCAGCTCTCAAGCTACAGTGGAGGTGGCTACTACCTGGACCTTCCGGGATCCCGACAGGGCAGCGCAGAGGCACTCCGGGACCTTCAGGAGAGCCTGTGGCTAGACAGGGGCACTCGAGTGGTCTTCATCGACTTCTCAGTCTACAATGCCAACATCAATCTTTTCTGCGTTCTGAGGTGGGTCCCCTTCCCCTACTGCATCCCTCCATCCATGATTCCTGGTTCTCTTCTCTGCTCAAAACCCTTCCCTAAACATACAACCTGTGCTGGGGATAGGGAGAAAATGGAACAGGAGTAACTGTCCCAGCCTAGGCCCCACCAGGCATCTCTCCTCCCACAGACTGGTGGTGGAGTTTCCAGCTACCGGAGGTGCCATCCCATCCTGGCAGATCCGCACAGTTAAGCTGATTCGTTATGTCAGCAACTGGGACTTCTTTATCATTGGCTGTGAGATCATCTTCTGCATCTTCATCTTCTATTATGTGGTAGAGGAGATCCTGGAGCTCCACGTCCACCGACTTCGCTACCTCAGCAGCATCTGGAACATTCTGGACCTGGTGGTCATTTTGGTGAGGAACAGATATCTTGGACATAGTTGGAGGAGATGGGGGAATCTACCCTGATAGGGACCCTGAGTTATTCCTTTTAGAATCCCAAGTCCTCCTTACGACTTCTGGTCAAATCCCTGTGTAACAGCTCTCTGACCAAGCCCTGGAAAAGCCTTGTCTCCCACATCCCTTCTCCCTCTAGTTCTTGATCCAGACCCTGCTCTTTTCTTTATGTATCGATACTTGATACTCTCTTCCTCATCTGTCTCTCGCCTTGATGATCCCCTTGAAACTCCTGCCTTTTCTCTCGTATTAAAATATCCTGCCTCTTCATCTGTGTCTCATTCCTATTAATAGGACACATTCATTTTCTGACCAAGGCAGGGAAGTGGTGGGGGAAATAAAGTTACTTGGTTCCAGTTCTCTATGGTTCTTCTCAACCTAGGTATTTACCATTGGCCCCGGAACCTTCTCTTGGGCTTTAAGACGCTCCCCAATAATCCTATCCAGTTCCACTTGAACCTGGGATAGTCAACAAGTCAGCAATGAAGGATGTTTTGTTTCCCACCTGTGTTACCCCTATAACTTCATCGCTGAACTTCCCTTGAGATCCCCTTGACTTTTCTGACCCCTCAACCCCTGTGATGACAGCTCTCCATTGTAGCTGTGGGCTTTCACATATTCCGAACTCTTGAGGTGAACAGGCTGATGGGGAAGCTCCTGCAGCAGCCAGATACATATGCCGACTTCGAGTTCCTCGCCTTCTGGCAGACACAGTACAACAACATGAATGCCGTCAACCTCTTCTTTGCCTGGATCAAGGTACCCTGGGACTCCGTACTCCCAGTTTCACCTCGGTGCACTCATTCTCCCTTCCTCAATATTGGTCTCATTTCCCTTGCCTGTTTTGGCAATTCCTGTGACCTCCATAGCCCCCTGAAGTGGATTGTTTAAAGGTTTTCCTCTTTTCTTTCTTAATTGCTTGGTACAACACGGTCCTTCCAGATATTCAAGTACATCAGCTTCAACAAAACCATGACCCAGCTCTCCTCCACGCTGGCCCGCTGTGCCAAGGACATCCTGGGCTTCGCTGTCATGTTCTTCATCGTATTTTTCGCCTATGCCCAGCTCGGCTACCTGCTTTTCGGGACCCAAGTGGAAAACTTTAGTACTTTCATCAAGTGCATGTGCGTGTCCTGTCCCCTTCACTCTTCCCTGGCCCCTCACTCTCCAACTCCATGAGTGTATGTGTCCTTGGGGAAGCTGGGTATATTCATATGGGCATGTCTGTGTTTAAAGTATCTGCGTGAGAGTCTCTGGAGGCCCAGATGCCTGCACTCAAGTATCTGAGCATCCTGTCCTGTGTCTATCAGATTGGGTTGGAGGAGCAGTGAGTGGTCTGTCTGAGTCCACTAAAGAGCAGTTGGGAAAGTGGATGGGGTATGGGTTGGGACCAGGGTTATGGTTAGGCTCTGGGTAAAACCCAGTACCTGGTCTCTCAGTTTTACTCAGTTCCGGATCATCCTTGGGGACTTTGACTACCATGCTATCGACAATGCCAACCGCATCCTGGGACCTGCCTACTTTGTCACCTATGTCTTTTTCGTCTTCTTCGTGCTTCTGGTGAGGGTCCTTCTGAGAAAAGGGTGGGGATTTGGGACCTGAGGGGGGAGATGTAGATGGTTTTGACACCTGCACCCTGTTCTGCATCCAAGATTACAATAGTTTGTTTTTAAATTGAAGGTGGGGAGTGTGTTGTGAGGTGGGCGGGATCTTCTGAGAGTTGTATAATATGATTGGTCAGTGTGGTAAGCACTGTCAGGTAGTTTGCACAGTATAAAGGAATCTGTAGGTTACCTCACTAACATCAAACCTGTATTCTCCAAGGATGGAAAGAGAGAGAAAAATGCCTCATTAGAAGGGGCTTCACCTAAAAGCTTCCACGCCTATTCTCCAAAACTCCCCTTCCTGTGGGGATCACTAGCTGTTTTTACTACCACTGTTTCTGGCTTCGGTGCTTGGTGGGCCCTTACATGAAGGGACTGTGGCATATGTTGGAGTACCTTTCTGGTCAGAGTACCTTTCTGATAAGGTTACTGTAGCAATGGAGTGAGATCACCCCTCCATGATCCATCACTAACAGGACTGTGCTGGGAGGCTGGGCTCTGAAGACCTTGAGATTCAGGGGTTAGTGGGCCGTAGATCTGGGGTTAAAAGCATGGCCCCTTTAGAACATGTCTAGAACATTAATAGAGCCAGTGGGCTCCATGCTGTTAGTGGGTCTGGGCATGAGAAACCACATCCCTGCCTTACCCTCCAGAACATGTTTCTTGCCATCATCAATGACACATATTCAGAGGTCAAGGAGGAGTTGGCTGGACAGAAGGATGAGCTACAGATTTCTGACCTCCTGAAACAGGTAACTAACTACTCAATCTCTTGAGCTGCATATCTATGTCCTGATCTGTTCCTGACTAATGTAGGGGCCTGTGCTCTTGTGTCCTTTCAATTTGTCCCTGGAAGCCTGGAATCTTGTGGATAAGGAGGAGGCTGTGGGAACTGGTTCCTGTTTCCCTTTCCAGGGCTACAAGAAGACCCTGCTGAGGCTGCGTCTCAGGAAGAAACAGGTTTCAGATGTGCAGAAGGTCCTGCAGGGTGGGGAGCAGGAGATCCAGTTTGAGGATTTCACTAACACCTTGAGGAAGTGAGCAACCAGCGATCCAACTTTCTCTGATATTGGTCTATAAATCCTTGACCTTCAACCATACATCCTTTGCCTATAAGCCTCTGATCTTGGCCTATGGGTCTCTGCCCTTGACTAATAGGCTTTTGACTTTGGCCTATATGGCACTGATCCTGTCCTTCAGAATTGTGCCCTTGGTTTAATGGTCTTTGACCGTGTTCTATAATGTTCTGGACTTTGTTGAACCAACTCTTGGGAGTAATGTAATATAGTTCCATGATCATTGTATACATCCCTCACTCACACAAAACTCTGATCTTGGTTCCATGCTTCCCCACAAACACTGGTCTATTTCCTTAGCTATTCTCTCCCAGCTTCCCAGTTAAACATATTAATAAACACTGAAGAAATATATTGTAAGCACTAGCTGTAGGCCAGACACTGAATAATATGTAGTGGATCATGGCTAAGGTATCCAGTGAAAGGTGGGTCATAGCAGGAGATGCTGCCAGAGAAATGGACCACATTGGAAAAAGCCTCAAACACTACTACTCTATCCAAAGGATAGGATGCTCAAGAGGCATTTTAAGCCGGGAAGGGCTATATTTAGACCCATACTTTAGAAAGATTAATTATTCTAGTTCCATTATAGAGGATGGATTTCAAGTAGAGAGTAAAGGGAAAGCTGAAGAAATGGAGGGCAGGTTATTTAAGGCAAAGAGATTCTGCACTGTAGGAGAACACAAGGGCCTGAACCAGGAGACAGGAATAAAAGAAATAGACTCCAGTGATTTCTTGGGGGTAAAATTGCTAGACTTTGGAGATCCCAGCTTTCCTATGAGGTGGTCCCTTTCTTCCCTAGAGAATGAGACTCCTGCCAGAGTTTGGCTAAAAGAGTGGTGAGTCCACAATCAACAGATTACAGCCACAGCTTGTCAGAAGTTATTTTTATCATCCTGTTCTCCTCAGACTGGGGCACAAAGAGCACGAGATCACTGAGCTCACGGCTACCTTCACCAGGTTTGACCAAGATGGGAATCATGTCCTGGATGAAAAGGAGCAAAAACAAATGCAACAGGACCTGGAGGAGGAAAGGGTGAGCTCAGCTGGATGGTGTAGAGGTAGTATCAGGAAATTGCTCTCCCTCCCTTCCCTATCTACTCACCCAGAGCACAAACCCAAACTGAAAATCTTCCAATAGATGAGCAGGAAAGAGCTCTCTAGAACAGTGGTTCTCAAATTGCTGCATATTAGAATGCATGAGAGCCTTTAAAAGTCCTCACACTCAGCCCTGGCCAGGTAGTTGGTGGGTTTGATATCTGGTTGGGGTGTGTACAGGAGGCAGTCCATTGATATTTATCTCTCATTGATATTTCTCCCCCCTTCTTCTCTCTCTAAAATCAATAAAAAACATACCTTTGGGTGAGGGTTTTTAAAAATCTTTATTATTTAGGCCACACCTTAGACCAGAATCACTGTGTGTGTGAAAGTTGGGGACCCCAGAAATCAGTATTTTAAAAAATATATATTTTATTGATTTTTTTACAGAGAGGAAGGGAGAGGGATAGAGAGCTAGAAACATCGATGAGAGAGAAACATCAACCAGCTGCCTCTTGCACACCCCCTACTGGGGATGTGCCTGCAACCGAGATATATGCCCTTGACCGAGATATATGCCCTTGACCGGAATCGAACCCGGGACCCTTCAGTCCGCAGACCGACGCTCTATCCACTGAGCCAAACCAGTTTTGGTGGAAATCAGTATTTTTTAAAACATCCTAGGTGATTCCAATGCATAGCCAAGGTTGAGAGCCATTGCTCTAAAATAGTCTGTAAGGGGAAAGGCTCAATTGCTCAAAAATCCCTGATGATTCCTTCCTTTTGAGATTTTTTTCAAACTCTTATCCTTAGCTGTCCGTAATATTCCTGCCCCACCCTTATCTAGTGTAGACCAAAAAGTCAACGGCAGGAGGGACAGTACAAGGCATTCTGGTACTGTCCCTCCTCTCCCAAACTGAGTTGGCCTCTAGTGAAGACCTCTTTAATCAAGGCCTCAAGGAGCTTGTATCTTATTTCTTTGGATTGTGATTCCTTTCCAGAGGCTGGGCCAGTGCCACTACTCTGATCATTGTCTCAGAGTTTGAGAGGGAAGGGGCATAGCAAGAACTATATAACCCAAGGCCTGTTCCTGAAAGCGAATTGGAACCAGAGATGATGGCTTCCCAGAGTCATCTTCTCCTCTCTGACATCTGACTTCTTGATCAGGTGGCCCTCAGTGCTGAAATTGAGAACCTGGGCTGGTCCTTTGTGAGGAATTCACCAGATAAATCGGATCTAGAGGCTACTGGAGCAGGTGACTGGGTTTCAGGAGAAGAATTCTACAGGTATGTACATCCAGGGACCAGGGCTGACTGTGTTTAAATATCCTACCTTGAACTTCTTTCATGGCCTTCTAATCCTCTGTCCTAGCCTAGGAAGAACTTCTGCCCCCATTTAATTCTCCCTAAAGGTTAGGTCTTACCTTCTTTTCTCCCACCTAGACATGCACTATTCTGTTCTCCTTCCCCTGCAGACACTCGATCCCCCAAGCACTTATTTCTGCTCCCTTGATCTCTCTCAAATCCTGAACAGGCTCACGAGGAAAGTTCTGCAGCTGGAGTCTGTCCTGGAAGGAGTCCTGGCCCAGGTTGATGTTGTGGGCTCAAAGCTAAGAATGCTGGAGAGGAAGGGGCAGCTGGCTCCGCCCCCAGGCCCGGTGAGTGGCCCTTCACCTGAGTCCTCTTGGCTCCCACAGTTGAACTCTACCATCTTCTCCAGTCAGTGGGTGGAGGCAAAACAGTTCTGAGAAATCTGTCTTCAGGCTACTGGGGTGAAATGTTCTTCACAGGAGTCATATACAGGGGAGGTTAGGGAGTGGGGCAAGGCCTAAAGGTGGTTGCTCTGGCCTGAGGGATGCCTTGGCCTCTAGGAGATGGTCTAGAATTGGAGAATCAGATCCAGATAAAAGGAAAGTGGGACACAAAATCCTCTAATGACCTGTCTGTCTCTTTTTCTTCTAACAGGGGGAGCAGGCACTTGGGAACACCTATAGCCAGCCACAGCTGTGATTCCAGCCCCCTGGGGAGTTGAGGGTGGGCAGGACAATGGTGGGGGAGGGGTCCTAAAGCATCAGACAGTAGGCTCCTCTCTCACTGCCTTCCCAGAGCCCCCTCTGCACATTCCCTCTATTCCTAGGGCAACAGTTCCCACTGCTCCTGCTGCCAAGTCCTATCCTGTGTTTGGCCTTTTAAGCCCATGTTTTTGTGTGTGTTAACTAAGCGTCATGTTTAGGCTTGTGCCTCTGTTTCTGTGTGTAGCTACAAAGCTCTGCATAGCTCTGTGAAATAATATCTCCCACTGGGCCTCTGATACCCTGTGCTTCCTATCTCTGCTGTAGTGATTAAACAAACAACCAAAAAGGTTAAAAGCAAACAGAATAAAGGAAGGGAAGGGCTCAGTGGTAAAGCGTCGGTCTGCAGACTGAAAGGTCCCGGGTTCGATTCCGGTCAAGGGCATGTACCTTGGTTGCGGGCACATCCCCCATAGGGGGTGTGCAAGAGGCAGCTGATTGGTTATTCTCTCTCATCGATGTTTCTAACTCTCTATCCCTCTCTCTTCCTCTCTGTAAAAAATCAATAAAATATATATATTTTTTTTTTAAAAGGAAGGGAAGGTAATGATTTCCCCAAGCATCTGGATGGTCATGATTCCTGAAAAAAAAATATAGCATTCAAGAGTAGCAATATATAGATATCTTCCTATTTACCAGTGAGTCTTACCCATTGGACATCTAGAGACCTACTTCTAGAACCTATTGGGTTCTTGTCTTCCCCATAGAATTTCCCTGTAGAAGAGAAGGGGAAGTCATATAGGTGAGGAGACTCTTATGTGGGGAGATTACAATGTTGCAGAGCAGTTGGGAGTGATTACCTACCTCCCCAACCTGAGGAGACCGTTCATGAACGCTCCATGGAAGATCCTACTCCCAACCTCCTACAGAACAAGGAGCTGAAGGGGCTGTAAAGCAGGATGAAGTTGGAGCCTGCAGAAAACCAGGCAAAGAAATGGTCCCAGGATTCAGAGATCTTTGGATTAAGATGTGCTAGGCTCTGACTCTATTCTTCCATTTGACAGTGTGGGTTTGCCTGGTGACTATCAATAAAAATACTTAGGAAAATCAAGGCTTTGCACTTGCTTCTGGGACTGTAAGGGGAAGAAAAGAGTTGGAACTGAGAGTCATCTTTGTACTTGGGTTGGGGACAGCCCATCCCTGCTGGGAAGTCTGGAGTGGAGGCAGTGGCAGTATGAAGGAGCTGGCTGCTTCAGGAGTCCTGAAATAAGATCTTCTGGCTCAGACGAATGGTTTGAACTGGTGGGCACTATGACTGTACCATTAGAGACTGGAGACAGTGACCTAGGGAGACCTGGTCCTCAGAATGAAGGGAATAAGGAAGCCCCCTTACTTTGATGTGTGAGGGGTGGGGGGCAGAAGGGGTAGCTGGTATGTGGGGGAGGGTGACAGGGTGCAGATGGAAGATAACCATGGGTAAGACCAAAAACTTCTACATCAAGATTTTGAGTGTACAGGTCTGCATCTCAATGAAATGGAATTTTTGAACTGTAACCGGATTCTTTGTACGCCAGAGTTGAAGAATGAATCCACAGACAGAAAGTAATATAGCAAAGGTGGAAATTTATTGAAGAACAAGTACAGACTCCCATGTGGGAAGAGGGAAAGAGTCCCACAGAATGGACTACCACATGGGGAGGGGAAAAGGGTCCCACTGAGTTTTTTCCCCCTCTGGCTTATAAAGGCTACAGATCCTTGATATCCCTTCTGATTGATCACTATTCCCTTATTGGTCACCTGGCTTCCTTGTGTTATGGAGATGTACTTTCTCCCAATCTGTAGCTCTTTGTTTTTCCATTGACCCCAATTCTAAAAATTCCCTAAGCCTGTCTTATATTCCCCTAAAATTCCTGTTTCATCAAGACTTCCTATATATCTCCTTTCCCTTCCCCTGTGATCTTCATCCTTTCCTCATTTTGTGTCTTCCATTGCTCCCCAGTCGCTTTTTCTTATCTATTTCCTTTACCCACCCCTGTTCTGCCATCCCACCAAGTACACTCTGTACACCTAGGAGACTTTGAGAAATAGCAACACGCTTTTCAAAGTAAAGAACCACAGTCTATCCTCAGCCCTAAAAAAAAAAAAAAAAAAAAAAAAAAAAGTTACGATCTAAGCTTTCTTATAGAGAGGCTGCATCAACAATAGAAGTAGATGCCATCCTACAGTTTAAGAAAAGGGGACCAAAGAATAGAGGTTAATCCAGGACATTGGAAGGGAGAGCATTCCGGCACAGCGATCATCGCCTGAAGGTTTCCGCAAGCCTGAATGAGACTGCTTTCAGAAGCATGGATTTTCTGAGCAGTTTTTTTTTGTTGTTGTTTTTGTTTTTTGTTTTTGGCGACTCATACCAGCCTGGGCGGTATTAACTGGGAGGCGATAACCTGTCTCCTCCGGTGCATTTGACCATCAGACCAGACCCAGACGGGTCGTGCGTTTCCCTGGACGAGTGACCCCTCTAGGGACAAGCGCATCCTCAGTTCCAGACGTCGCGACTCTTGGGAGTGGATCGACTCAGGAGAACCTTTCTTAGCTTCCGTTTTGGCTTCATGCTTTACATTTTCTTACTCAAACTTGGGCTGCAAGCCGAAACCGGTATGGCTCAGTGGACAGAGCATAGGCCTGAGGACTGAAAGGTCCCAGGTTCAATTCCGGTCAAGGGCATGTACCTTGGTTGCGGGCACATTCCCAGTGGCGGGTGTGCAAGAGGTAGCTAATCGATGATTCTCTCTCATCGATGTTTCTAACTCCCTATCCCTATCTCTTCCTCTCTGTAAAAAAAAAAAAAAAAAATCAATAAAATATATATTTAAAACAAAACAAAACACAAAAACAAAACTTGGGCAGCAAGACTTAGCGGAGAGCGTGCATTGGCAACCCAGGGCTCCCGGTGCGCATGCGCAGGCATCCCCAAACCGGAAGCAGCGCGGGGCCTGGCATGGCGGCGGCGGCGGCGGCGGCGGCGGCGCCCGAAGGTGTCCCTGCGAGCCCACCAGAGGAGCCGGTTAGAGGTGCGCCGGGTGGGTGGGGATGAGGTGTCCAGGGGGAGGCCTGGGAATCGGGGTTGGGGCCCGGATGCCGGGGTCACCTGGCAGGAGCGGGCATCGGAGGGGCGGACCGGTCTGTGCCCTGTCAGCGGGAGAGGTGGTCCGGCGGCGGCGGCGGGTGTGGGCTGCAGCCGGCGCGGGGAGCGGAGGGGACGTGTCCGGTGGGGCCGGGCCGGAGGGAGGGGCTCGGAATCACGGCACGCGGAGGGTTTAGCCGACTTGATCGGCGGAGGACCGGCGGAGAGGGGTGGGAGCCGGCGCCGGGGCTGGAGGAGGAGGACCGGCTGCGGGGCACTGAGTCCTTCTCCTTCCATCCAGACGATGCCGCGGTGGAGACGGCCGAGGAGGCGAAGGAGCCCGCGGAGGCCGACATCACCGAGCTCTGCCGGGACATGTTCTCCAAAATGGCAACTTACCTGACAGGAGAACTGACGGGTAGGATGATGTGGGTAGTGCGGTGCCCCCCTCGCTGGAGCTGCGGTTCGTCTTGGGGAGACCCTGGAGGTGCTTCCGTAGCATCGGTCTGCGCCCCTCACCCCCACCCCCCACCTCCAGCCCCACCTGCCCAGAAACATGCCTGTTGGAAGTTTGGCGCCATCCTGAATGGGAAGGAAAGAGGTGCATTCCTTCCCTGGAGAAATGCACGAACTACCTTCAAACACACACAAGAATACTTAATACAACTCTCCACAGGCCTCCGTATTGCAGACTAACGCCGAGAAAACAGAAAAGAATGAATCAAGAAGTGCCTCCTTGGGGGAAGTGCATTTTGAGCAGGTTGTGAAGGGAATGAATGATTGGCCCAAAAGGAGGGAAACAATTAGTGTGTGAGGGTGTGTGTGTGTGTGTGTGTGTGTGTGAGTGTAGTGGTGTAAGCGAGAAGTATATTTGGCCAAAATAGTTGTAGTTATTGGGGCAAAGAGAAAGGGAATGGGGAGAGACCTGCAGGTTTAGGGGCCTGTTAGGTCGGTCAGAGGATTTGGTGACACCCCTTGGGTGATTTATGTGTTGGTTCCTGGTGTATTTCCAGATGAACACGTGATCTGTGTGCTGAGGAGGGTCCAAAAGGTGAAGTGTGGTCCAGGGTGAGGAGTGAGTGATTGTAAAAGGAATGGAAAGGAAGGCATGGGTGCAAGAACATGATAGAGGTGGAATTTATAGAACTTGTTAAGGTGGGTACTGAGGGGTTGGGAGCAGCCCAAGATGGATGTACTTGTATTTGAGCTATTAAAATAGCCTGGGTGGTTCCATCAACCAAAATAGGGAAATTGGAAAGAGGAACTGTGCTTGATGTGAAAAGAATATTTTCGGTTTTGGCTTGGCTGACTTTAGATTTTACCAGGACCCTCAGCTGACTACTGTTAAGACACTCCGGTAACTTGAACACATGAGTCCAGATCTCAGAGAGTGGTCAGAGCAGGAGAAACAGATTTTTTTACAGCGGGGGGGGGGGGGGGGGGGGGGGGGGGAGACACGACGACGGACGACGACGACCACGACCTGCATAGAGCTGTGAGCTGGGGCTGTGCGGGATGAGATTGGCAAGGAAGAGCTTAGAGGTAGATCAGAGCACCTTGACTAAAATCTCAGGGGATGCCGTTATAAGGCAATTAATTTACTTTTAATAACAATACTTTACCTAGTTTTCAGATGATTGTTTATTTTTTTACTTATTTAAAATATATCTATTGATTTCAGAGAGGAAGGGGAGGGAGAAAAAGAGGTAGAAGCATAATGAGAGAACCATTGATCGGCGCCCCCTGCACGCCCCTATTGAGGATCGAGACTGCAACCCCAGCATGTGCCCTTGGCCCTGGGACCCGTCAGTCGCAGCTGATGCTCTATCCATTGAGCAAAACCGGCTAGGGCTGATTGATTAATTTAAGCAGATTGTAATTCCCCCCGATTGTCATTTTTACCTGCATAAGTACTGTTTTGAGTTTGAAAGGAAATACCACCCATGTAAACATCAGTTTCCCGTCACAGCTGAGAAAAGTTGAGAACTGACAGTTAAGGAGGTTGGTTTAAAAAGGATCTGGCATTAGAAACCTAAAAAGAACAGTTAGAAGGAGATTTAAAAATCAGTGTAATGCAGTATACAATTCTACAGCAGCCCAGGGAGGATTTCCTGAAGAGAGGGAGATCCAAGTGTCAGATACTATAGAGAGGTTCGGGAGAATAAGAACGATGGATTTCATGGTTAGGAGGCTGAGGCATGTAATTTCTCAGGATGGTAGGGGCAGAGGCCAGACTGCAGGGGTTCACATGAGTGAAATG